GGCGGGCGTGCGCAGGTCGACCAGTGCAGCCGACAGACAAGCGAAAACAAACAAAATACAAACAAAACCAGTGAATTGGGCCAGCCGAGGGGCCGAGCGACCGAACGGCGGCGGGCGGGCCTGGGGCGACCAGCGCAGCCGACGGACAAGCGAAAACAAGCAACAACAAACAAAACCAATGCATTTGGCCAGCCGAGGGGCCGAGCGACCGCGGGGCGGCGGGCGAGCCTGGGGCGACCAGTGCAGCCGATGGACAAGCGAAAACAAACAAAAACAAACAAAACCAATGCATTTGGCCAGCCGAGGGGGCGAGCGACCGCGGGGCGGCGGGCGAGCTTGAGGCGACCAGTGCAGCCGACGGACAAGCGAAAACAAACAGAAACAAAGAAAGCCAGGGAATGGGGCCAGCCGGGGGGCCGAGCGCCCGAAAGGCGGCGGGTGTGCGCAGGGCGACCAGTGCAGCCGACGGACAAGCGAAATCAAACAAAAACAAACAAAACCAGTGAATTGGGCCAGCCGAGGGGCCGAGCGACCGAACGGCGGCGGTCGGGCCTGGGGCGACCAGCGCAGCCGACGGACAAGCGAAAACAAACAACAGCAAACGCAACCAATGCATTTGGCCGGCCGAGGGGCCGAGCGACCGCGGGGCGGCGGGCGAGTTTGAGGCGACCACTGCAGCCGACGGACAAGCGAAAACAAATAGAAACAAAGAAAGCCAGGGAATGGGGCCAGCCGAGGGGCCGAGCGACCGAAAGGCGGCGGGCGTGCGCAGGTCGACCAGTGCAGCCGACGGACGAGCGAAATCAAACAAAAACAAGCAAAACCAGTGAATTGGGCCAGCCGAGGGGCCGAGCGACCGAACGGCGGCGGGCGGGCCTGGGGCGACCAGCGCAGCCGACGGACAAGCGAAAACAAGCCGAAACAAACAAGACCAATGAATGGGGCCAGCCGAGGGGCCGAGCGACCGCGGGGCGGCGGGCGGGCCTGGGGCGACCAGTGCAGCCGACGGACAAGCGAAAACAAACAAAAAACAAACAAAACCAATGAATTGGGCCAGCCGATGGGCCGAGCGCCCGCGGGGCGGCGGACGAACCTGGGGCGACCAGTGCAGCCGACGGACAAGCGAAAACAAGCAGAAACAAACAAAACCAGTGAATTTGGCCAGCCGAGGGGCCGAGCGCCCGCGGGGCGGCGGGCGAGCCTGGGGCGACCAGCGCAGCCGACGGACAAGCGAAAACAAACAAAAACAAACGAAACAGTGGAAAGGGGCCAGCCGAGGGGCCGAGCGACCGCGGGGTGGCGGGCGAGGCTGGGGCGACCAACGCAGCTGACGGACAAGCGAACACGAACAACAACAAACAACATCAGGGAATTGGGCCAGCCGAGGGGCCGAGCGAGAGAACAGCGGCGGGCGAGCCTGGGGCGACCAGTGCAGCCGACGGACAAGCGAAAACAAACAAAAACAAGCAAAACCAATGTATTTGGCCAGCCGAGGGGCCGAGCGACCGCGGAGCGGCGGGCGAGCCTGAGGCGACCGGTGCAGCCGACGGACAAGCGAAAACAAACAGAAACAAAGAAAGCCAGGGAGTGGGGCCAGCCGAGGGGCCGAGTGACCGAAAGGCGGCGGGCGAGCCTGGGGCGTCCAGTGCAGCCGACGGACAAGCGAAAACAAACAAAAACAAACAACATCAGGGAATTGGGCCAGCTGAGGGGCCGAGCGACCGAACGGCGGCGGGCGGGCCTGAGACGACCAGTGCAGCCGACGGACAAGCGAAAACAAACAGGAACAAAGAACGCCAAGGAATGGGGCCAGCCGAGGGGCCGAGCGACCGCGGGGCGGCGGGCGGGCCTGGGGCGACCAGTGCAGCCGACGGACAAGCGAACACAAACAAAAACAAACAAAACCAAGGAATGGGGCCAGCCGAGGGGCCGAGCGACCGCGGGGCGGCGGGCGTGCGCAGGGCGACCAGTGCAGCCGACGGACAAGCGAAAACAAACAGAATCAAACAAAACCAGTGAATTCGGCCAGCCGAGGGGCCGAGCGACCGAACGGCTGCGGGCGGGCCTGGGGCGGCCAGTGCAGCCGACGGACAAGCGAAAACAAACAAAAACAAACAAAACCAATGCATTTGGCCAGCCGAGGGGCCGAGCGACCGAAAGGCCGCGGGCGGGCCTGGGGCGACCAGTGCAGCCGACGGACAAGCGAAAACAAACAGAAACAAACAAAACCAACGCATTTGGCCAGCCGAAGGGCCGAGCGACCGAAAGGCTGCCACTGCGATCGACGGACAAACGAAAACAAGCCAGAACAACCGAAACCAGCCAAGGAATGGGGCCATCCGAGGAGCCAAGCGACCTAGCGCTACTGCGCGCCGCTGAGACAGGGCCCGGAAATTTGCAATCTACTTCTTGTAATTGCTGTTGCTGTTGTTTTTTTGGGCGGCCCCGAATGCAATCTACTTCTTCCGCCTTCCTACTTCATGTTTCTACCTACTTCTTCCGACCGGTGGGTAAGGGAGCATGAGGGAGAAGCGGGGAAACGAAAGAAAGGACGAAGCAGGAGCGGGGTGGAAAAACGTGGATGGACGAGGGGAGGGAGGACAATGCGGGGAGACGCGTGGAGAGGAACGGGAGATGGCTGGAATCAGAGACGGAGGAAGGACAGGGATGAGAACAGAGGCATAGGATCGATCAGGGATCGGAGGACGATGGCGGCGACGAGCACGACGACAACGACGACGAGCGCAACGACGACGGCGACGACAGAGACGACGAAGAGCCGACGGCGAGCGCGACGACGCCGAAGACGAAGAGCCGACGGCGAGCGCGGCCAGCGAGACGACGACGAACACGACGAGCCTCGGCGAGCGCGACAACGATGAAGACGACGGCGAGGACTGGCGATGAGCGTCGTGAGGGGGGATCGGATGAGGGAGGTCAGAGGTGAGAGCGGAACAGCATGTGTTCAGGAGGGCGACGGGCATGATCGAAAGCCATAAGTAGCAGCATGAGCAAGAGCATGGGGCAGCGATAGCGGAGTGTGAAATAAATTCGAACAACACGAATCATTGATAGGAGATCAGTGGGTGTTGGGGGGTATGTCTACATCTACGTGTGTATGTACTGTATATACGTAGTTGTCTATACAGAGGGAGAGAGAGAGAGAGAGAGAGAGAGAGAACACACAAACAAAGAAATAACGAGAGAGAGAGAGAAAGAGGGAGATATTGCGAGACAGCGAGAGGGGGACCGAGGAAGAGGAAGGGGGAAGAGGGAGAGGGAGAGGCAGGGAGAGCAGCTGGAGGAGGAGCACGACAGTGGGGGAATAGAAGAAGGCAGTGGAAGGGGGAGGTGGTGGGCCCAAACCGCACCTGCGACGCCACGATTCCGAACCATCCTGTGGTGTTGGGTCTTCGTTTTTGAAGAGAGCGCGCCCCGCGTCCTCTCCTGCCGCTGCCCTCCTCCCTCCTCCCACCCCGGCAGTCCTGCGGATCGCTGTCTTGGCATCGAGGTTGTCGGCTAGGCGGGAGCTCCCTCTGCTGCCGCCGCCACCTCCCCCCTTCTTGCTTGATCTGTCACGACCTCATCGAGCACGCACCTCGCGAAGCCGCGCGTCGCATCAACCTCCCATCTCCGCCTAAGCCCTCCGCATGTCCAGCAGATTCGCGCACCCCTCACACGCTTCGTGGCCCCATAGGAAGCTCCACCCCAGGCCCCAGTGGGTGCGGCCACAGGCGGCTCCCCGCCCACCGCACGCCCATGTCGGCACAACCCCCACACGCCACGTGGGCGGCCCCGCAGAGAGAGCTCCACCGAAGGCCCCCGGTGGTGCCGCCGCACGCGGCTCCCCGCCCACCGCGTGTCCATTTCGGCACGCCCCTCACGCGCTTCGTGGTCCCACAGGGAGCTCCACCTGCGGCCCCAGCGGGTACGGCCACCTGCGGCTCCCTGCCCACCGCATGTCCATTTCGGCACGCCCCTCGCGCGCTTCGTGGCCCCGTAGGGAGCGCCACCTGAGGCCCCAGCGGCGGGGTTCAAATGCGGCTCCCTGGCCATTTCGACGCACTCCTCACACCGTGGCCTCATGGGGAGCTCCGGCGAGCACGATACCCACAACTGCGCTGGACCCCCCTGGCGGCGCCTCCAGCGCCGCCCTTGGCGCGCTCCGCGCGCCAGGGAGCGGGGGGTCCAGCGCCGATCCGAGAAATTCTTGCGGACCTCCGAGTTCGTATGCTTATGTCATTGTTCGTTCTTTCAGGTCTGGGGACGATAATATGCCGATGCCGCGACCCCGTCCCTCGCCGCCACGGCAGCGTCCGCCTCGACATCCGGGCCAGAGCGCACCCGCGGGGAGCAGCGAGCACCGGTATCTCCCTGTTCCCCCCAGGAGGTCTGGGCAAGATCCGGTAAGGAACCCGCGTCCCGAAGCGGCCTCCCGTGGCCCAAGCCACAACGGTGTACAGTATGTTCGCGTCGTCTCGACCGGCGGCGACCCCGCCGCCCGCGTTCAATGTTGAGTGCCGCCAGCGACCCAGAATCGGACGATGTTGAACGATCCGACGTTTCGGTTCACGGCCGATCGTTCAAGGTTGAACGATCCCCGCGGTGTCAGAAACCAACGCCCAAGTCGGCACGACACGCCTTTGGAGCGGTCGAGCAAGACAATTAGTGGACACCCCCATCTCACCAAAATTCACGGTTGGCACGCGCTGGAAGGATTTCGGTCGAAGTGCAATTCATCAAACCCGTCGCCAACGTAGGTGTTCGATCATGGACCCCGTGTTGACCACAGCCGTCAAGCTCCCGCGCCGAAAGACGCAGGAGACCGCCGGAAACGGACGAAGGCCGTCAGGACCGCCAGAAGGCCGCCAGAGGACCGCCGAAGCCCACCGAAGACCGCCCAGGGCCGGTGGGAAACGAGGGGTTCATCGCCGAACGCGTCAGGAAGGACGCCGTGGTCTCGAGGAGGAGCGGGCACATGGAGACCGCCCCGCGCACAGGATAGCAGCCGCCTCCGGCGGCATCCTCCGTGGTCGCCGGATTGCGCATCGGGCCCGCGCTTAGACTTCGGCGGCTACCACAACTTGTCGGCCGCCCAGCTCGCAGCCCGATATCTCGCTGGCGGGCGGGCTCCTCCTCCTCTTCCTGCTCCTCCTCCCCAACCTCCTCGTCCCCCTCCTCCTCCTCCTCCTCCTCCTCCTCCTCCTCGTTCTCCTCTTCTTCTTCCTCCACCTCCTCCTAATCCTAATCATCCTCCTCCGCTATCCCTTCTCCGTTTCCTCGGCCCTCCTCCTGCTTCCTTTTTCTCCTCCCTCCCCGCCAGAAGTTTGCGGCAACACCTTGCAGTCTGCCAGAGGAGCGTGTGGCTAATAATCTGCCGGTGGCCGACAGCATCTACGGCGAATGTGGTCTTATGCGTGGCCCATGGTTCTCGGCAAAGCGGATGCTTGCCCAAGGATTTGTTTTTGCTCTCCACTCGTCCGCCTCTTCCCTACCCGTTCTTCCGTCCTTTCTCGAGCTCCTGCTGGGCAGTCTTGGGGGGTCCCTTTGGGTCACTTTGGGCCGTCCTGGGGTCCTCTTGGCCGCCTCCTCCTCCCCCTCCTCCTCCCCCTCCTCCTCCTCCTTCTCCTCCTCCTCTTCCTCCTTCTCCTCCTCCTCCTCCCCCTCCTCCTCCTCCTCCTCCTCCTCCTCCTCCTCCTCCTCCTCCTCCTCCTGTGGGGCTGTCCTCCTCCTCCTCCTCCTCCTCCTGTGGGGCTGCAGGGCAGTTTTGAGGGGTCCCTTGGGTCGCGTGGGGCTGTTTGCGGCCCTCTTTGGCCGCCCGGGGGCTTCCTGCGGCCATCGTGGGACAGTCTTTTGGGCCGGCTTGGGCCAGCGAGGGGCTCTTGACTCTCAGGCTAGGTCGGGCGTGTCCTCCTACAGGCGGATGTTGGACGACAAGTAAAAGATATTCAACACATACCCCCAAAACTGTCAAACAATCGTCGGAAAAAATCCCCCCCAGGCTATTTTTAAAAACTAGTTTTGTGTATTCTTCCTGTAGAGGGACACGCCCGACGTAACTCTTCAGGGCATCTTTGATCTCTCTGGAGGCCCTTTTGGGCCAGCCTGGCGCTCTCGGGGGGCCTTCCTGGGCCGTCTGGGGGCCCTTTTTGGCTGTCTTGGGTCACTCCTGGAGGTTCTTGGATGATTTGGGGGCCTGCTTGGGCCGTCTTGGGGCCATCTTGGAGGTCCCTAAGGCCATCTGGAGCTCATGGATACCCAGGAGTAGCTTCCACTCTCGTTCCTGAGCTGCACTGAATAATCAAGTGCTTGACCACTCCCTGTCGGGAAACAACGTTCTGGATCTTTGGCGAGAGCCAGACGGTGGGATAATCCGAGTGCGACGAGCAGAGTGCTCCATAATGACAGGAATGCCATGCACCCAAACCTCAGCCATGAAAAGAATTGCAGTACGTAATGGTCGTTTCCCCAATGCCACCTGAGTGTTCTCACGGGAAAGCAAGTGACTGAGCCTCCGCGATTTGCAAGTGCTCTTGAGGGGGCGCAGAAGTTTCGCAGCATCGGGGCAGGGGGGCGTTGGGCAACAGACCATGACTCGTAAGGCGGGCCCGCCCGCCACACCCCAGCCTTTCCCAGAACGCAGAAGTTGGAGCCACGCGCACACTTGATCCCCGGGCTCACGGTGGTTCACTATATTTATACGACCACCCTGCGGGTGATAGGAGGTTTTTGAGGGGGGGGGCAGCAATGGGCAACAGTGGTGACTGTTGTTCTGACGATGCCTGTGGTGCGCAGTCTAGTGAGTAATGTGCCTTTTGATTTGCATTTGGATTTGCATATCGATGTGCATGTCGACTTGTTTTTCGATCTGCATCTCGATTTGCATGTCGACATATCGATGTGCATGTCGATTTGCTTTTCGATCTGCATCTCGATTTGCATGTCGACTTGCATTGGAAAGCTCGCCGCAGGCGCCGATTTTTTTCAATACGCAACCCACGGCGCCTTACGATTTGCAGTTGGATGTGCATGTCGATTTGCATTTCGATGTGTGCATGTTGGTTTGCATGTAGACTTGAATTGGATAGCTCGCCGCAGCCACGGGGGGACACCAGCGGGACACTAGCGGGACACCGCGGGGCACCGCTTGCTGGGTAGAGACTTTTGGTCCGGCCGCGGCTCAGCCACAGGAGGATTTCGGGACACCAGCGGGACACCAGCGGGCCACCGGCCGCCAAAGGAGAATCATTTGGTCCGGCCGCGGCCCAGCAACAGGAGGATTTCTTCTCGCCCGCCCACGCAGCTTCGCCTCGCCCGCACGCGCGCACGCACGCACGCACGACGCGAACCCGAAACCGAAATCGATTTCCCGGTAGGGGGGGTCTCCGTTTCACGTCGGACTCACCCCCCAACCTCCGATCAATGCTACGCACATGATGTCTAGTACATACATACAACGTGCGTACATTGACACATTCAGATGTGTATATTCCCCAGAAGGCTTGCACCTAAGGGTTCTTACTTGTTTGTCCTAACGAACTGGGCCTGCGTCACCGTCTGGCGGCTTGTCGTCGTTGTCGCAGCACCGTCGCCGCCTCGTCGCCGCCCGTCGTCTGGGTCTGCGTGGCGGTCTGGCGGCTCTGGTCGGCGCCGCCGCCCTGTGGCATCCCCCCCGTTGCAATCGCATTGCGTTGCTTTGCATTGCTATGCATTGCGTTGCTTTGCATTCCGCTGCATTGCAGTGCATTTGTTTATCGTATTTCATTGCATTGTGTTGAATTGGTTTGCATTTGTTTATCGTATTTCGTTGCATTGTATATCGTTGCATTTCTATCGCATTACTATCGCGTTGCTATCGCATTGCTATCGCATTGCGTTGCATTGCTTTGTGGTTGTTGTGTTGCTTTGCATTGCTGCGAATTGCGTTGCATTGCAATCGTATTGCATTGTTTTGTAGTGCGTTGCATTGATGTGCGTTGTTTTGTATTGCATTGTTCTGCATTGCTTTGCATTGCCGTGCATTGCTTTGCATGGCATTGCTTTGCATGGGTTTGCATTGCATTGCTTTGCGTTGCTTTGCACCCCTACACTGCGCCGCATGGATTACACCGCCTCGGTGTCCACCACATTCATTGCACCGCCTACATTGCACCACATAGGTTGCAAGAAATTCTTCACGCTTCGCGTATCCCCACCAGCCCATCTCACAGCAGCAACTCTCGCGAAGCATGCCGACAGTCGTGTTTTTCAGGCGTGTGTCCGCTTGGCCCCGCATATCTCCCCTGTTCCTCCTTCCTCCCGCCTCCTTGTACATCCTCCTTGTGAGGGGAGCGGGAGAAGGACGAGGCGGAGGAGGAGGGAGAGAAAGTGCTCCTCGTGATTTGAGTCGTTTGGGGTTTCTCGTCCTGGTGTGAGTCGTTCGGGCCCTTCTTCCTGGTGTGAGTCGTTCGGGCTCTTCGTGGTTCGAGCTTCCCTTCCTGGTATGAAGCGTTCGGGCCCCTCCTCGTTCTCGGAGTCGCTCGGCGAGACGCCTAGGCAAGAGAGCCACGCGTTTTTGGACGCCCGTATGACTTTGTTGGAGGAACACGTACGGCATTGGGCTCCCATGGTGTATGCTCTGTATTGCACGACTGTCGAGTGCACTTCTTACCACTATGACTCTGGGGAGAGCGAGTCGGGACACGGGATGTTGCCTCAATTGAGTTTCTGTTCGTGGGTTCGCTGGTGCTGGTTTCTGTATTCTGTACTGGTGCTTGTTATTCTGCTCAGGTGATGGTGCTGGTTACTGTACTCGCCGCTATTGCCTTTTATTCTTGGTGATTGCTGGGTTCCTTCGGGTGTCCGGCAGTGGGCTGAGATGGTGTATAGTCTCTCGTCCAGTACTGGGAGTACCTTGTGATACACCGCTGCATCAGTAATGGGTGGTATCGCTACTTTGCCACACTGGGATATCAGGCAGTTTTAGCCGTGGGTGTGGCCGCTACCACGATGCAGTGGATTCGCTCGGTGCTCTCCTCCTGGTGTGAGTAGTTCGGGTCCCCCCTCCTGGTCAGAGTCGTTCGGGCCCCTCCTCGATGTGTGAGTCGTTCGGCGAGGGGCCCGAACGACTCACACAAGGAGGGGCCCGAACGACTCACACCAGGGCGAGGGGCCCCAACGACGCACACCACCTGCATTCTGGTCCAGGACGTGCGCACTCTGAGTTGCGTGATTCTACCCTTGTCGAACGGAAATCCTCAGATCGGTTCGAGGGGAACGATCTTGGAGGCGAGTTTCCCCCATCGCCTTCTCTCCCTCCTCCTCTTCCTCCTCTTCGGCTCCTAGTCGTAGTAGTAGAAGTAGTACCAGCAGGATCAGTTGTAGTACTGGTAGTGGTAGTAGCAGTAGTAGTAGTAGTAGTAGTAGTAGTAGTAGTAGTAGTAGTAGTAGTAGTAGTAGTAGTAGTAGTTAGTAGTAGTAGTAGTTAGTAGTAGTAGTAGTAGTAGTAGTAGTAGTAGTAGTAGTAGTAGTAGTAGTAGTAGTAGTAGTAGTAGTAGTAGTAGTAGTAGTAGTAGTAGTAGTAGTAGTAGTAGTAGTAAGTAGTAGTAGTAGTAGTAGTAGTAGTAGTAGTAGTAGTAGTAGTAGTAGTAGTTAGTAGTAGTCGTAGTAGTAGTAGTAGTAGTAGTAGTAGTAGTAGTAGTAGTAAGTAGTAGTAGTAGTAGTAGTAGTAGTAGTAGTAGTAGTGGTAGTAGTAGTAGTAGTAGTAGTATAGTAGTAGTAGTAGTAGTAGTAGTAGTAGTAGTAGTAGTAGTAGTAGTAGTAGTAGTAGTAGTAGTAGTAGTAGTAGTAGTAGTAGTAGTAGTAGTAGTAGTAGTAGTAGTAGTTAGTCCAGTATCAGCGGTAGTAGCAAACGTAGTCGTCAACGTCGTCGTCGCACTAGTTGCCTCAGTAACAGAGGCAGTCAATTAGAGCAGTGGTCTATATGGAAGTTGTGGTAGTAGTAATAGTAGTGGTCGTAGTGGTAGTAGTAGTAGTAGTAGTAGTAGTAGTAGTAGTAGTAGTAGTAGTAGTAGTAGTAGTAGTGGTGGTGGTGGTGGTGGTGTGTGG